CTAGAAGAGCTGTTCTCAACCTTAGCCACACATCATCAGAGAAAGTGGAAGATCCCAAATTCATGACACAAGCCAGGGGAATGAAATCAGAATCTCTTAGGGCTGGAGGCGTTTTTAAAGATTTCCCAGGTCATTCCAGGGATCACTCATCTACAATATCGATTCACTGATATTGAAGAAACATCTTTGCAGTGTAAATCAATATAAAGTAAATAAAATGTTTATGCCCAGTCAATGTGAGGTTAACATTGAAGATAAAAATTGAAAAGGAAACTGGGAATCAAAATTAAAGCAATAGGTCAAATAAAGTATTATTTTATTTGAAATAGTTATATGTATTTATTTGAAATATGTATTTATTTGAAATATGTATTTATTTGAAATAGTTATATGTATACTTGTCTTGTATACTCAATCTAGCATGAAAACTATCTTAATAGATTATCATTTATATGTGGGCTGGCATGAGACTAGGAGCATTATTGATTTCCTTTGCTTCATACTTTAATCCACCGTGCACATGCAGACACTGACATCATACAATTAAAGCAATTAAAACCAATGTATAATAGCATTTATTAAAATTTTAAGCCCTAGATAGTTACTAATTTGACACAGTTACAAGTCCAAAGTAAAAATAATTATTTTTTACCCTATAAAAACATCAGGTATCTAATATTAAGATAAAATGTTGGTTGTTTTCCTATAAAAATAAAATGTAATTCATAAAATTAGTGGTCATATATAAAACAAACAAAAAATAGGAAAAACAAATATCTGGGTCATAAAACTTGTTATGATAACGGTTTTGACCTTAAAATGGCCTTAATAATGGTTAAAATGATTATCTAAAGGGTTAGACTGTTTGACTTTGTAGACAAGCAATTTAGCTATAGCGATAGGATTTGAAAATAATAAAGTGGTAGAATGCAAAAAAAGATCTATTTGCATATGTATTCCACATTCCTGGACAATGTCACACTATTTACAATAGCACTTAATCAACAGCAAAACAATATTTTTAATAAAAATAATTGTTAGATATTTGATTTGATTTTAAATATGTTATTTCAAGAATCTATAGTGCATGATGCCAAAATGAATTAAGAACTTAAGAAAGATTCAAATTGTACATTATGTAATCCAAATTATATATGCTCAAACTGGTTAATGTTTGTGAGAAGTTTCTGCAAACAATGCACAAAGCTTCAGGTACTACGATTATTATATATGCCTTACATTGGCAGAGCATCCTTTGGCCATTATCTGTTAAATAATAATAAGCAAAAAATCTGTTTTAACATGAGATTTTGAAAATAAAAAATTGGAAATGCATGCACTCTTGAGAATATAAAGATTAGTATCTGAGAGAACTAAAATACAGATGATGCAATATCTATGTTCTAATTTAATCTCAAATCTACCTTCACTGATCATCTGGCTTAATTTAAGGTATAGTACTCATAAATACATAAAGCTATCAATAACAAAAGTTTCCCAGTAACAAAGTAATTTGTATTCCTTAAATAGTGCAGTTTTATAATATTATATATATCTTCACATATGTATTGGAGCTAAAGGACAAGAAAAAATACTTATTTAAGTTTAAAAAAAAACCACAAGCATTTTAATAATATACATATGTAATTTTGTACCTTAGAATATTGCATATTTAAATATTATCAACTAACTTAAAGAGTATTACAGATTTGTTACTCTTATTATACATTAAAGATCATTTTGAAAACTACTGAAAATTACTGTCATCATTTTTGCTACTTGACTTATGTAATATAGCAGCTTGAATTTTTTTTCCATAAATTACTTCCCAGATAAATGTGCATATTTACTCTTAAAATTAAGCCAGCTATTTCTCAGAATATTAAAAAATATTCTTGGGTACAAATAATTTTTATTATGTGTTCAATACAAATGTTCATTAAAATAAATCCAAGCTGCGTTTAATCTCCAAATACTATAAACTCAAGGTACTATGATTGAATTAGATCAATATAAAAGTTTGTTTGCTTTTTCAGCACAGGGCGTCAAAAGCCCTTCAAAACAAGTTAAATCAAAGATAAATTTAATCAATTCTATTTTATATATGGAATGTGGCTTTTTGTAAATGGAGGGCAATATAAAATTAGAAGGTAATAATATGTCTTTAAGTATTAAAAATTAGAAGTTACTACATTAATAATTTAATTATATGGGCCTAATAAAGTTAATATTTCTCCTAAAATATAAACTTTAATAAATTGTATAACTAATGAGTAAGTATATTCTACCTACATATTTACAAATATATTTATAAACTATTAAATTATATTTTTCATGAATATATTATCAATTCCAGAAATATAATGCATTTGCTTTTAACATAGCCTTGGGCTTTGTGGCTATCTTAAAATATGGAAAAACTTTCATAGAATGTATATCTTGAGCAAAGTCCTTGATGACGGTCACAATTTCATAATTATAGTTATGTCACAATTTCATAATTATAGTTATGTTTGAAATAACTAAGTGTTTAGAAAGAAACTAAGACACATTATTTAAAGTAGCATTTTAAGGCATGTAACATTATTTGTATGTGGATGTCTTTGTGGCCTTTTCAGAATCATAAAGAAATTACATATTAAATTAAGGAAATAAACAATTTGTAAGTTATCAACCAGGAACACTTGAAACTTAAATTTGAAACTCTAATTTTTAAAAACAGTTATTATGGGGGAAAATGTTTTAAATAGACAAAAAAAAAACAAAAATCACACAACCAAGAAAATAACTACAAGACATCACAAGCAATAAATCATGTATGTGGTGATGAGAAACTTAAATGGCTATGCTTACTTTTTATATGAAGAAAAGAAGTTCCTAAGAAGTTAAGACTTTTATAATGCGCTGTTGTGTATACAGTTAAAAATTACCACTTTATATAAAAACACAATACAGAGGTAGTTCATAAAATTACAAATTAATTTCACCTACATTATACCTTACAGTTATGGTGACAAATACAAAGTTAAGAATTATTTCAGGTCAAGAGGAAAATACAGTTACTTATATTTAAAATTTGGATATTTGAGCAAAAATATATTTGAAGAGCTTATTTGAAACTATGCTGCAGTCTATTAACCATGACTATCTTTTAAATACTGAACCTATGCAAGTTGGAATTGACAGAAATTTATATGAGAATTACGTTCAGAAAAAGGAAGCAAATTTATATTATTACAAAATACTATTTTTAAATACAAATACTGCACTGAAATGCTTATAACCTTTTTACGAATAGCAAAATTAGCAGACACGCCATTTTCCTTATTTTTATAATTCCAATGCAACATATCTCATCATAATAAATAGCTATGCAATAAATTATTAACAGCTGCCATTAAGAATAAGTTTAATCCCCAGGCATTAGTTATAGTGATATAGCTAAGGAAAGTATTTAGGAAAGCTTAAAATCCATTTATCTTATGAAGTGACATTCTAAATTAATGTTGTAAACTCAGTATTAGTCTTTTCAAAGAAAATCTGTTTCTGGTCTTAAAAAACTTTGAAAAGCAAGTTTAGTTTAATAGTCAAAAGCACAACTAATCAAAGTAAAGTACAGCCCTTGAACTATGCTCATTTTAAATAGATTTCTTAGACTACTTCTCATGTCAAAGAATCACAATGCATTTTTATCAATACTGCCCTTGATTGCACTTCTCCAGTACAACGCAAGTGAAACAGAAGAGAGACAATTTTTCTTTTCCTGTGTGGTGTTAAGGTAGTAGTAAAGAGAAAGGAAAAGAGAGAGTGTAGTATATTATTCCTTTTTAAAAGCAATTCCATTTTTTGTGTTATTTAATAAATTACCCTTGGGACAAAACATTAAGGCTTACTAAGATTCTGTCATCATTTCTTCCCTACTAAAATGTCACTCACTGCAGTATCTTTAACAGAGCTCTTGGGTAATCTCATTTCAGCACCACGGACAGTGACACTTCTACTAGGAAGTGCATCACCCGTGGTGCATTGGCCATTTCTTAAGAAACTCGAATAGACTTTTTTTGGTCAATCAGCAAGGTTAACAGCCATTGTTATATTAAACAAAAATAGACTGAATACTATACACATTATTAAGGAGTTTAGTACTTTTTTATTCCTAGCACCATCCATTTGCCCTTTAATATTTCTGAAGAACATGCTGAAAATACAAGCTAATTACATAAGGTATCTGATAAAACCTAACACAGACCATTGATCACCAGATACTTAATTGAAACTCTCCACTCATATTGAGTCTGAGATCAATAATTATTCAAACATCTAAGAGAAAACAGAAAACGTATTGTGAGTCAGTATGCTTTGGTAGGCCTCCGGACTTTCCAAACAACCAAAACAATCTCTGTAGAACAGGTAAAATGTGTTTTTGCTTCTTTCTACATAAATAACTACAAACACGTTCTCTTTTCCCTCTGGTCAACCAACTTAATGACGTCACTCTCTGAAAATTCATGTGTGCAGGTCCACAAGCCAAATCACACGTGCCTGTCTCTGACTCTTCTGATCTGGGCTGGGATCATTAGTATGCAGTCGCATCATGTCTTCTTAACAAGCCATATTCAAATCGCATTTTTTAAAATAAAGTAACAGAGTTTGAACCAATCACTTATCTGTAAGAGGTCATGTAAGCCCTAGCTTTATTATCTCAGAAAACCAGGGTGTCCCCTGATTTTCCAGGGATTCCCAGAAGAAGGCACCAGTCCACCAGTCATCCACGAGGTATTCCCAACTCAAGCGCCAAGTCAAGCTTTTACAACCACAATGACGACGACTGAAGGAACAAAACCAGAGCCACAGAGCCACTGGAGGGAAGGGGGGCGGAGAGGGGGAAGGAGGGCGGGAGAGGACAACTTTTAAAACTCTAGGAAAACAATCCAACAAAATAAAACAGCTGGAAAAGCTCAAGAAGGGCACGAGAAGAAAAGAAAACCCACTGGTCCTACCTTACAGTCCTCGGGACAGGATTTCACCGAGTACTCCTGCGATTGCAAGTATTTGTGGAGCACGCTCTCGAACTCTTCGTACTTCTCCTGAGCGTGGTGGTCGTAGTCTTGGTAAGCCTCGACGCACTGCCTGCAGGTGGTCATCTCGCCGCCCTCCTTGAGCACCACATCCAGACTACAGTTCAACGTGCTGGGGCTGGACAGCCCCGAGAACAACTCCCAGAGTGTGTAGGAATTACAAAACGAAAGGTAAAAATCCGACAAGTTCCAGAGTGGACTTGGACGTGTCCCTCTCACCTGCTGCTGCTGCTGCCGCCGCTGCTCCTCCCCCCGGGCCGCCGCCACCCCCTGACTCCAGTTCCTGGCGCACACGGCGTCCGCGCTCTCCACCGTGAAGCACTGGCCCGAGGACGCGCCTTGGGGGTAACAAGTCTCCAGGCGCCAGGCGGGCTTGGCAGAGTTTCCTAGAAAAAGAGCCTTGCTCCGGTTGCTTTTGCCCCCGCTGCCCTTGCCTCCTCCGCCTCTGCTGTGGCCGTCTCCCGGGGAAGGGGGCAGGGTGGGGGACGAGGAGGAGGCGGAGAGCAGTCTGAGCGCCTGGGCAGCAGCGGGCGAGGACTCCCCCATGCTCGCCAGGAGCGCGGGCCAGGAGGGCTCCTGCGGCCGTGGCCGCTGCTGCTGTTGCTGCCGCTGCTGCCTCTGCTGTTGCTGCCGCTGCTGATGCTGATGCTGTTGCTGCTGATGCTGCTGCTGATGCTCCTTGTCCCGGGTTCGGGTCAGCTTGGCCTCGGCGCAAAACCACAAGTGATCAGAGAGCAGGACGGTGAAAAACAAGAGAGATGCCAGAGACAGTCGCCATTTCTGAGCCCTCTCCGAATCGATGAACGGTTTCTCGTTCTCCCGGGGTGCCGCCAACCAGATTTTTAAGCCGTCGTCATACTGCCGACACATCCAAGCACCCCTGGTCATATTTTGGGAACGCACAGCCCGGGCCGACTCCACCGTGAGGGCTCCTGTGCAGGTGTCACCACAATATGCATTGACTTAAAGGGTTTAATTTCCTTATCCCCTCCTCCCGTTTCTTCTCTCTCTCTCTCTCTCTCTCTCTCTCTCTCTCTCTCTCTCTCTCTCTCTCTCTCTCTTCCTCTCCCTTTTCCCCCTCTCTCTCTCCCTCTCTCTTTTCTCTCTCTCCCTCTCTCTCTCTTTTGCCTACATAAATATGACTAGGCTTTGGAGGAAGATCTGACTTGCTTTTCCGACCTAATCATCAGCCGACCCCATCCTCTGTAGAGTAGGAAACAATAGTGGGGGGGGGGGGGAGAGAGAGAGAGAGAGAGAGAGAGAGAGAGAGAGAGAGAGAGGCGGTCGGAGGTGGCTGCGCTGGTGGTGGCCGGTGGCGAGCTGGGTGCAGGAGGTGAGGTGATGGTGGAGGTGGCGGGTGGCTCTGCGCGGCTCCCTTCACCCCGGCATGGTCAGCGCGCGGGTCCCCATGGCCCTGCGGAGGGCAGCCCGCTCTTCCCGGGCAGGGGCATGCCGCGTCTCCGCTGCCCGCAGACAGACAGCGACCAGTGCGCCTCCCTGGTGGCTCTCCTCCTCCTCCTCCTCCTCCTTCTCCTCCTCCTCCTCCTCCTTCGCTTCTCCTCCTCTTCCTCTTTCTTCCTTTCCTTCTTCTCCTGTCTCTCCTCCTCCTGCTGCTCCTGCTACTTCTCGCAGTCTCTCCCGGAGGAGTCCGGAGCCTGGGCAGCCACCGCAGGCAGAGCTCTCCCTCCCCCCCACCCCCCACCCCGCGCTCCAACTGCTGCTGCTGCCGCCGCCGCTGTGGCAGGTCTGCCCGAGGGCGCCTCCGCCGCCGCCGCCGCCGCCGGGTTCCGACTGCTGACGCCGCCTCCCCCGGACCTTGGGGCCGAATCGCCTGGGCTGGGCCTCCCGAGAGCCACAGTCATCTTCAGTCCCCGGCTAAGTTGCCGCCATCTTCGTCCTGGAGAAACACTTTTTTTAGGGGGGGGGGGGGGGGGGCTGGCTTTTGCGTCATCTCCTCCCGCGCAGAGATCGCTCCATCCTGGCGCATTGGCACCGCTCCGGCCGGGCGGGCGGTGGGGGAGGAGGGCAAGTGCGCGCGGGGCTGGGGGAGGGGGAGGTGCGGCTGTGCCACCGGCCCCGCCTGGGCTTCTGAGCTCCAGTGCCTGCTCCTTCCTTTCCGTGTCCCCTGGCCTCACCTTTGGGCTGTTTTTTTCTTTTCTTTTCTTTTCTTTTCTTTTTTTTTTTTTTTTCTTTCTGTGGGCGCTGGCAGAAGTCAGGATGCAGATGCATGGCTGAAGATGCTAGCTCATTTCTTCAGCGTCTCCCTCCCCCTGCCTCTCTGCCTCTGGAAAAAGTCGGAGTGGCAAGCGACCGTTCCCAGGTTTTTGGGGGGAGAGGGTCAGGGTAGTGCTGTCTGAACTGAGTGATGATAGACTTCAAAGGAAAGGTTGCAGGGGTGGGGGGCCAAGGGGGGTAAGGAAGTAAACAGGAACAGGCTAGAGGAGAGAGGAGGTGACATCTGGTTTCTTTGTATGCATCTCGGGATCCCTAAAAAAACAACTAGAGATCAACAACTACCAGTGAGTTACATGATTTTGCCAAGTGAGTTTAGTGCTTTATATGGAACGGGTGCTGTGTGTATCTACAACTATACCTGCCGCTGTAAAGATTGTATTTCATATTTGAAAGTCCAAGGTTAGAAACGGCCTCATAGAGCCAGAAAAAGACAGAGACCTGGGATGATATCAGGGGTCACCGCCTAGCCCTCGGCTTGGATTTCAACGTCTTGATTTCGGAGGATTCCTCCTCGGATCGGGAGGATAAAAAAGCTTCCCTTAACCCCATTCCTCACCGAGTTAGGCTTTGCTGTCACCCAAGACTTCCGCAGCAGCGGGCCATCGGCTGCCTGCCTAGGTGGCAGCCACTGAGTCCAAGCCTCTGGTGCCCCTTAGCGTTGGTTCTTGGAGTTCCAAGAAAGCAACAGACGCTCTGGGAAAAGGGTCCCCACGCTCCCAGCTCCGGCAGGTTGATGCTCTGAGCAAACATTAGTCTGGCTTTATCTGGGAACCCTGCCCACTCTGTCCCTCACTCCCACCGAAGCTGCGGAGCTGCGGGAGCAGGAGGCTGTGCCTGTGCCTGGACCCTCAGCACGGCCTTGTGCAGAGTCCTCTCTGTTGTTGGTGGTCAAGGAAAGCCATTTGTTCTATCTGGCATTTGCTGTATTCCTTCCTTGCTTCCTAACAACCCTCATTCTCTGTTGGGTGCACATTCATATGGGCAGTATTAAGGTACTAGTGTTCTAAGTAAGTATATGGGGAAACCAAAGGAATGGATCATGATATTCATTTTTTAGAGATGCTATGGGTGTTAGGTTGCCTGAGAAAGGAGAAATGTTTAAATGTCAACTTGCAAAACATAATGGGCAGGATTCAACCAACTAGTTCTGTGCTCAGCATAATAGGGTGTACACTATATTTTACCCAGGTAAATTCCAAGTTCCTAAAAACTAAATGCAGTGACTATTAAAAGCATGGTGCAGTTGACCATTGATGGTCTGTCAGGTAATGTCTTAGAAAGAACATTTGTGTACCTATATCATTCTGACTCTTTGGATTTCATTGTGTTTTATTTTTTTTAACTACATGAAGGATCCCAAAATTTACAGATATGTTTTCTATGGCAAGTTCATCCTGACATTAAAGCATCTTTAAATAAGCAAAAATTGAGGGTTTAATGAAAATTTTTTTTAAAAATTTTTCTGTGCTTAAGCTGAGGAGACAGTCTTTCTATTTTCTTTTCTTTTTCTTAATTCATCTTTATTGTTTAAAGTATAACAGATGTCCCCTTTTCCCCCCCAATGAGCTGCTCCACTCTGCTCCTGCTCTCTCTCCAGGCCTTTACCACCCTATTATCTGTGTCCATGGGTTAGACATATATGTACGTAAGTTCTTGGTTTAGTTTCTTCCTGCGCCCCTCTTCTCGCTAAAATATCTCAGTTGGATGCATGCTTCAATGTCTCTGGGTCTATTTTGTTCATCAGTTTATTTTATTCATTAGATTCCACATATACGTGAGATCGTGTGATACTTGTCTTTCTCTGACTGGCTTATTTCACTTAGGATATAATACTATCCAGGTCTTTCCATGGTGCCTCAAAGGGTTTTGATAGTTTAAATTATTTTGACATTGAATAAAATATTCTTTTCTCAAACAGTGATGTGGATAAAGATATCCTTTGAAGAAAATCTACTAAAATTTTGGAAAGCATTGTTTTTTCTCCTACCCTCTTTTTGTGATTACTCTTTCCTTAAATTCAAAACTTCAACTTCTTAAAACAAATCAGATTTATATAATATATAACATAAAGTCTGCTTGCAGACATAAGTGAGTAGAAGGTCTGGCATTTTCCATTGTATAAATAAATACATGTAGAAGATAATATCAAAAGTCTGCATTTCTATTACTTGATAGATTTTGTAGAACATAAAAATGAACATGTTATATTTTAAATCCTGAAATTATCCCCTTTTGTTTTGAACCTGCTGAGCCTTTGTTGATGAAATGTGATAACCCAAAGCGTTTCTTCTTAAAAACTCAGGGTGAGGATATTTTTAATCTTAAATTTTTAAGGAATTTTTCTTTCTTATCTCTGTTATCTCTATCTTTAGCTCTATCTAGATTGTTATTTAATATCTACATTACAGGAATTAATTTCATACTTGTTTCTCTTATCTTCCCCTTCATTCTTCTTCACCCTATTTCTTCCCATTTAAAGCTGCTGCCTAGACAGGTTTATATTTATCTTTATCTCTGCTGTGTAAGAAGAAGCTCAGAAAATCCATGGCTATGGAAGTCCTCAGGGTATCCCTGAGCTGAAATTCTCACACAGAAAGCTCCTGGGAAGCTAGAGTGAGTATCAGAACACAAAGATGATCTGAGGACAGGTAGAATTTTAATATGAAAAGGGAAAATTCATCAGAATACTTCTGTTCATCCAAAGGGAGAAAGGTGAGCAAAGTGACTGAGTATCTACCCAAGTGTGCACCCCACCACCACCTCCCAGCCTGGCTCCCTTTGCATGCCCTGTGCCTCCAACCCAGGCAATATAAACTTTCACCTCAAGTCATATCGGTTCCTTTTCACAGCAATGAATAAGTTCTTCTTCTAAGAATAAAAAGTGGCAGAAGTTCTGCTGAAATGAACTATCACATTTGTTCTTAAAATACATATACTTTCTTCTCCAAAATCCAGTTTTTTACTAACACCCTTCCCCAATCACAACCACTTCAAGTTTATACTCTTCTTCACATTCCATGACCACTAGTCTAGACTTGTGCTCCCTGTTGAGTGCTGTTGCTATTGGCAGATAGATTCATTATGATTCCCACGGGGTGGTTTAAAGCTGAAAACCATCAGAACTACTGATATCAAACTAATTACAATTCCTTTTGACAATGTTTCTCAGTATTGCCTCTATTGACATCTGGGGTTGATACTTCTTTGTTGTGGATGGCTGCCCTATATTTTGTATGAGGTTCAACAGCCTCCCTAGTCTCACCTCACAAGATACCAATAACACAATGCCTTCTCCCCAGTTTTGACAACTAAAACTGTCACCAAGCATTGCCAAATGTCCCCTGGAAGCAAACTTGCTCCCAAGTAAGAACCACCACTTTAGAAACGCTAAAAGTAGTAGTGGTTACCTAATTCATATCTCAAAGTAGTAGTGGTTACCTAATTCATATCTGCATGGGAGTTCTGGCATCAGAAATAAAGCTATAACTTTTTCTCTAACACAGGGTATTTATAATATAAGAAATATTCACCGTGCATCATCACCTCATCATATATGTCGTTATAGAATAATTTTTAAAGACTAAAATTTTGAAATTCCTTTAACCTCTCTTGCCTATATATAAAGTTAAGGGGATAACTGACAATTATCATTT